AATTTGGGAATAAAACTATTTCCATCATCTTATTCTTCTATCTATACTAATATAGAAATCTACAGTGGTTTTTACGGATGTTCCGTTATAACTACTGAACCATGCATCCGATTGACTTGAGACTTGATGTAGAAAATACATGTACTTAATGGATAGGCTAATATTTATATGAGTGTTGGACTCCCTAATAATAATATTTTAAATGCCCAGCGAAGCGGGCGAGTACGGCTAGTTATTTACAAAACTAATTGATAAGTACACTAAATAAAAATTAATAGCTACTAATTACAAAAAAAAATAATTATATTGTTTCACAAATACAAGATAAAAGTATCAAACTGTTTTATGTTTTCCTATTTTAGACGACTCTATTACTACGACCACTATTTTAGACTCAGACGACTACACTCGTTAAACCACGTTCGCTTCTAAGCTGATGTTACTGTCAATTCATCAGAAATATACTAGAGATGACCAGGGTCGTACAGGGTTTTTTTAATTTATTTCATTGCTTAATTGGGTGAAGTGAGCTCGAATGTGTTCCATCCTTCAGAACTGAAATGCACGACTGCTTTAACGTAGAAACATTAGTTCCTACCCGTATCAAATATAAGTCACAAAATAAAACTATAAGTTGGTTTAGGAACATAAAAAAAACATCCTTTCAAATCAAACCGGACTAGCAATTAATTTCATCACATATTTTTTCCTATTGATACAGGTTAAGGCATGAGACCTAAGTTATAATATATGTGTTTTTATCGGGTCTTGAAGCGTGTGCAAATTTTTAAGTTAATAGTCTGTCCGTCTAGTTGAAATTCGTGAAAAGGACATTCAAATATTCCTTTACATATAAAAGAACATATATGTATGTACATATATACCAAGCTAATAAAAGCGTTTTAAAAAGGCCAAAATTAAAGGTTTTACAAAATGACAGTTATTTTTTGTGGGATCAGCATCATCATCATCAACATCAGCTTTCCGACGTGTTAGTGCTGGATATAGGCCTAATACCTAACTATCTATTAACTGTAGCTATTTCAGCATCAGCGACATTCCAAGTTAATTTTAAAGATTACGTAATATGAGTGTATGTAACGCATTAACTTTTAATGTACAATTAAAACACGTCTGCGCGTGTAAATACGGTGCTTGAAAGAATGTTTCCAAGGCAAATATGTTTTTTTTTTACAATTAAATGGCACTGATAGACGAGTATATAGAATATGGAATCCGTTGGATGCAGGCTTGGTGCTTTTAGGTTCTTCAAGCACCTGTCGCCGTCCTCGTCGAACTCGTCCACTTCGACGAAGAGTTCGAAGCGCGAACTAGCCTATAGACACAACCCACTGAGTTTCTCGCCGGATCTTCTCACTGGGTCGCGATTCCGATCCGGCAGGAGATTCAGCGAAGCACTGCTCTTGCTAGGGTTAGTGTTAGCAATTCTTTTTATTTTATGTTTTATTAGATGGATGGACGAGCTCACAGCCCACCTGGTGTTAAGTGGTTACTGGAGCCCATAGACATCTATAAAGTAAATGCTTCACCCACCTTGAGATATAAGTTCTGAGGTCTCAAGTATAGTTACCACGGCTGCCCAGCCCTTAAAATCGAAACGCATTACTGCTTCACGGCATAAATAGCAGGGTTGTGGTACCTACCCGTGCGGACTCACAAGAGCTCACCTACCGGTCCGCGTGAAGTTTGAATAAATAGCCTCTTAGGCTATAAACGATTAGGTAGGGGAACAAATAAAGATGCAGGCAGCGTGGTACAGGTCGTTGTGGCGTCTTGATAGACCTATTTCCAGCAGTGTGTCAAAGATAGATAAATAGGTAAACGGTTCCTTCAGTACTAAACAGTGGACGCCAATTTTGAGATATAATGTTATCCAATGGTAAGGGAAAGTATCTTTTTAGTGGTTAACGTGTGGACGAGCATGCGTTACGAGGTGTGTGATTACTGTATTATGTCAATGAGTGACGTTCCAATGTCTATGCTGTCACCTACGAATAAATAATTATTTATTCGTAGGCTGTCACTGATATTAACGCATGAGCTCAAAGTTTCGTTTAAATTTATTAGAACAATTGTTTTCGTATCATTCAAATAAGAAATAAATCGCACACCAGTCATTCGGCTTGAAGAGTGCGGCTGCTATTGTACAAAACAATCGAGCCTTCTACCTGAAAGTGAGTTGCGGCATTTACCTACGTTGTGGAATCTATGGGCTCCGGTAACAACTCAACATGAGGTTTTTTAATGGTGGTAGGACGTCTTGGGGGTCGGTACGGGTAGGTACCACCAACCTGCCTATTTCTGTCGTGAGGCACTAATGCGTTTTGGGCTTGAAGGGCGGGGCAGTCGGTGTACTGCTAAAACGGAGACCTTAGAACTCATGTCTCAAGGTCAGTGGTGGTATTTACGTTGTAGATGTCTATGGGCTCCGGTAACCACTTAACACCAGGTGGGCCGTGAGTTCGTCCACACATCTAAGCAATCAAAAAAAGGTGATCTCAAGAAAACAAGGATCTGAGGCACATATAGAATTCTTCTTCTTCGTCGCTTTCTTCATTGCTGAAGGTCGTGTCCTTGAAACTTGACCGTTGCCTGTCTCGTGAGCTGTTTCCATCTCGTATATAGAATAAAATACAAAAAAACTGTTTTCTTTTAGAAATAAACTCACTAACGTCGAATCAAAGTTTAACAAGCTCTAGTTGATTTCGACTTTGATTTTCTTACAAAACGCTATTCTTTCACCGACCTGCTCGAGGTTCGAATGACATCATAATCTCATTACTCAGGATCCCAGTTTTCTTACCCGTACGTACGTTGATCGAATCGCGGAGATAAAATACGTTTAAAAATATTTTGTTTCTCGTGAGCGAAGCGTTAATTCAATCCACAGACTAATCGCGGATGCCGCTGGGTTTGCGTGGAAAGCAACAAATTATGGCCTAATATGCGTATTTGGCACCGGAAATGCGTGTAATTCATCACCCAGTTTTAGGTAACGACGTATTTAGTTTAAATTACAATACGATTTTACTAGGTAGTTACTAAGAAAGTGTGGCTTCTTAAATTATTTATGTATATATGTAATGAATGGGTGTATTGCTTGTAAAGAAAATTTTTATGTGTGTTGAGTAGCTCCTTAGTAGTTATATTGTAAACTGGAACATCAAGTGGCATTGATATCGGATTCCAGGATTTTTTTACGGATTATTTCAGTACAGGAAATGTCTTTGGACTTCTTTAGTATGTAATATATATTTATTGCTTAAATGGACGAACTCATAACCCACCTGGTGTTAAATGGTTGCCGTAGTCGAGGTGATTGACATTGTAAATGCCACCAGCCAATTTGAGACATGTTCTTTTTTTTTCCTACCTACCTGATAGCCTTGAGAGGCTATTTCAGTGTAACCTTAACTAGTAGGTGAGCTCACGGGGCTCAAACCGGAGTGACGCTAACACTGACCCTAGAAAGAGCAATGCTTCACAGAATCTACCACCGGATCGGAAACGCGACCCACTGAGAAGATCCGGCGAGAAACTCAGTGGGCTGTGTCTATGGGTTAATTCGCTCGTCGAGCCCTTCGTCGCAAGCGACGGGTTCGACGAGGACGGTAACGGGTGCTTGTGGTACCTAAAAGCTCCGTTAATGGATCGGGAGGATACGTAATGACGTGTTTTGAGCGACTTCGACTGTTTACCATTCAGTCTATAGGATCGGGTATGTGGTTTCCAGCGGCCACGACAAGAGGGTTTTCATGTCGTGCCGCCTTTTCAAAGTGGCGCAATGATGCCGACTGTAGATTTTTAAGTCTCAGTTTTATAGTAAAACGGCTGACCCACCGGCTTCAAACTGAAATGCATTAATGCGTCGCGGCAGAAACAGTCAGGGTGACCGTACCTTACCGTATTATTAAATACCCTACATCATATTTCATTTGTCACTATTGGCTATCTTTCGTTTGCCGTTGCCTATTTATGCGTTTAGCGATATTTTAGAAACTGTAAAAATAGTGATTTGGGCCTTTCAACAGTTTCAATAAGTTTTTAGTTTAGAACTATTCTTGGTTGACGAGACCGCTTAAGCACGACCGTTGACCATGTTATGAGCAGTGTTAATACGTTGTTCACATCTTGACAACAGTTAGTCTTGCCTCGCTGTACTTATTGTTATTGACCTTGACTTTTGTACCATGAGGCGTACTGTTCTCGTGGAGAGTCAACGTCTTTGTCAAAGAGCTAGCTGGGTACCCCGGTTTCAACCGCGTTAAAATTCTAGTTCAGAAAGACGAAGAAAGAGAAAAAAGAAGAAGTGCCTACGTTAAAATTTTCCGGGATAAAGAGTTACTTGTGTAGTCCTCTGGACCATAAACTACCAGTTGTTTTATATATCCACTGGAACATAAAATCACGAGCCAGCGAATAAACGGTCACAATTACTAGAGTAGTTACACCCAGCGTTGTCCCGGTCATGTCATTTACACTTGTAAAAAGTATCCAACGCGTTAATCAAGGTTACAAACTACCTTTGTACGTTACATCATCCAAATCCGTCCAGCGATTTTTGCGTGATCGAGTAACTAAGGTTCACATTTAATGCTTAAAGATATTTGTGATTTTATTATAATTATCTTCCGTGTGTATTTCTAATATTCCTACCACAAGAAAAGTCTGATTTCAATGCCTGGTATTTTAATTCTGGAATGCTTAATTTGACTTTAATTCGTTACTGAAGTTCACATACGTACTTAAAATTCTCGGGGAAAGACGGTGAAATACATACAAAAAAATTCAGAGTGACAAAAACCTGTGCGGCCGGCATCGTCCGAAAATTCAACGCGTAAGAACATTTAAACTGGAGCTTCGGTATCTGATGTTATTTCTGTGTTGGTGTCAAAACGACAATGCTCCAAAAATGTCTGCAGAGGGGGAGCGGGGCTATGAAGCTCTCGTTTAGGCGGATGACGGTCTGGGCGGGTTCGGTGAGGGGGACTGCTCCCACGCATTGCCCGCCGCGCCTTGCCGCCCGCCTCGCGCCAGTCAGCAACTGTGGCTCGTGTTGGCTAAACCATCTCGTAGGGCCATCTTCTAATTCTTGCAGTAGGTGAGTTTACTGTGACGTTCTTTTTATTTATCTTTTAAAATATCCGATGAGTGCGTAATGAGTGAAGTGCTATTTTCGCGGCAAGGTCTACCTGTTTTTAATCGAATGCGTGCGTGTATTTTTCGAAGATTTTCCAAATACAAACGTGATGTTCGCTATTGAGCCTACCGGTGCTCGCTGTATGTAACGTCACTGATAAGAGCTGTGATGTCATAGCGGCGCAATTGACATAGACCTGACATTGTTCCAGGGCTGACCTAATTTCATATACACATAGAATGACCTAGACTCCGATTCTGATATTGAAAAATCCAAGAATCGATTTTTAAATAACTCTAAATCGATATTCGCGGTTAAATTTATCTATTTATTTACATGAATTCTCATTAATTCGAATTGTCGTTTTAAAATAGCACTATAAAACGCAAAAAAGGATATTTTTTTGAAATAATTTCTCACACGAAATTACGAACGGAAGCTGAATTTAAATAGATCGTCCCGAATCAAGAAGCCAGCAGTTTTATTTTTAAACACCATCGATGCGGACACGATTTAATTTTAGCGATTTTGTTGATGTTTTACGTGTGCGGTGCGGTCCGCGGCAATCCCGAAACCCGAGTAAGCGAAATCTTCGTTCGTGCAACCAAATTAGGACGACGGGAATGCGAGCCAAACTATTTACGTCGCGCGCGCTCGACCCGGAGATAGCCGAACATTCACGAGTGCACCCGAACCTAAATGTAGAATTTTCTTTGCGCTGGCATCGTTTATCGCGCGCAAAAGTGTTTTTTTCTTTTCTTATTTTGATGTCGCCTTCAAGAGAGAACAATACCTTTCAAATGATTAAAGCCAGGACCTGCCTAATCGTTGTTATAAAATGAATTTGAATGCAAAAGATAGACGTGTAGAATGGCGTTGAAATTAAAGTATCAAATATCCATAGTTCACACACTTTATGGTGTTGGCGTGATGCCAAAAAGTCTCGAATAACGTACGGGTTCCAGTGCTCTATCCAAATATACGTAATTTATGCTAGATTCTTTTCTGCATTAATGATTAAAAATGAATTTACCGTATGAAAACATATTACATACGTATTACCAATAACACATACTTAGACTTTTTCCTTTTAACAAATTTTAATATTAAATGTGGTTTGCATTGTGATAAAATACTATAACACTACAACTTGAATTACATTTCTACATTCTCATTAACCGATTTAATTATCAATTGTCGGTCAATTGAATACATCCAGACACCTGTTTAATATTTTAGTTACAGTAAATACACATATGTACATTATGTCTATTTGTTTATTAACGATAAATAATTTTACAGGACACCCTAAACCAACACAACAACAATGGCGGATGATGAAGTAAGGTATGTGAAGTCCAACCAACCTAAGGAGGTTTTAATAACTTTACCTCATCATAAATATTATTTCTCTTATACTTCTATTGGAACAAGAAAAAACTACAATTTGTTATACTTATCATATGCCTACAATGACACGTAGCAGCGTAAATGTATCTCTTATCCTCAAACGAGTCTAATCTATTATATATTTTTTCATTTTAATTACATTTGATTTAAAATAGTACAAGACGAAATAGCAATATAGTTCAAGGCTTTGTAATGTTTATTTCCAAATCTTAACTTGTGTTTTTTTTTAATTTCTGTTTCATCCACATTCACGATCGACTGGCGCTTGGTGATTATCTACTTCTGTACGTGATCGACGACTCCTCGAATTCATGACTGCAGTATTAAATACAATATCTTCTCGAGACCGAGGTAATTAATTAAACATGTACTAACAACTTAATGTATATTAAAAATTAATACTCATGCAGAGTACACAATGATACATTACATTAAAAAAAAAACATGATGATGATGATACCTCCTTGCTAAAAAGAAGTTATTTTGACGTTCATTTTTGTACATAAAGTGTACGTTCTAAAATCTCAGGCCTTCATACGAACATCGTAGGTTTCAAAGTTGCAATTCACACTATAATAATGACTTGTGCGTTCACGTACATTAAAATCGAAGTAAAATTTGTTACGATAACAAAATTTCTGTTCCAGAATTTCTATTTTATTTCGAAACTTTAGTAAAGAAAGGTTGTAAGTTCTATAAACAGATGACTGTCAATAAAAAAGTAACAGTCGCTTGTAATGCACAATTAAAACTCGCACTCTCTGTCACTTAAACAATTAACCAAAATGCAGATAAAAAAGAAACACAGAAATTACCCTCTTGCACAATTTAATACATAATTTAAGAATAACGTTGACTCCGTGATTCCAAGCTCTTGTAATAAAACACTTACAGCACATGACACTTTAAAAAACAAGTAATAGTTCCTTGAAGCATTTTTTTCTATATATTGCTGTTGAATACATAAAGGGTTTTCGAAATATTAGTTCTGTATTTGAAAAAGTTCACGTGGTTTCACGTTTTAAACTAAGATCTTAAGGCGATACTCAATTTTTTATCTTATTTGAAACATATCTATGAAGTTTTAAAGTCGTTATTTGAATAGAGCGATACTATTTGACAGCAATGTACTGAAATAAGCGTCATTGGAAAAAAATAATATACAAAAATAATAACTGAATTAGGAATGTATAACCCCGGCGATTATGCCAAAGTAAAACTTATAAATTTTGTTAATGATTAAAATTTCTGTTACGCACTATTATAATTTTTATACTATTTCACTACGCTTAATAAGAATGCTATAATAATATCTGTGTAATAAATTAAATGTGCCTACAATATATTGCAATTGTTGTTACGTACACGTACCTAATAAATGAAAAACATAACCAAAAATTGAAAATGAAACTAATTAAAATATATATTTTGCATAAAATACTAATGAATTTATTTTCCTTTCACAGAAAAAGCGTCTCGAGGAGGTAAAGTGAAGAAGAAGATGGAACAATACGTATCACACAACATAACACCGAAACATATACACCAACGCACACCTGCACACACATTTATATATATAATACATTCATTAAAACTATTTCTGATAAGACATTTCAAATTCATTCCACGCTTACATACAGGAATAACAATAATGTAATCAATTTACAACTTTTTTACAAATTTACAAAAATTTGGGTGACTTATTTCAATAATTCATCTCTATAGATTTTCAAACAAAATGGTTTGAAAAATAGTAGCTTATTTTTTGCCTGCGACAAAGCTATGTACTTTTTAGTATCTCTTTCGTAGAATCGGATTGTTCGTTTTTGAAATAAATTAAAATTTAGACACCATTTCATTATAAAAATTACATATAAATGCATAATTTTGTAATTTTGACCGATCCTGCGGTATTCGTATCCACCAGATCCCTGAAACCATCGATAGATTTACAGTCCATCTTAAGCAATGGCAGTTCGAAATTTACTATCGAATAAAGTATTTCTGGTGCATTTGTTATTGAAACCAAAATTACTATAGCCACTCTGATAAACAAAGCGTCTATAGAACAAAAACACAAGTTTTTTTTTAGCAAATTTGACACATATAAAACTCCATTCTTTTGCTTTAATCTATCTGGTGGTATTCTGATATAATTCATACAATTTTTCGTTTTTACACTGAAAGAAATATATTTAAAAGCACATAGCTCAGTATTAATTTGCATTATGATTTAATTAAATAAAATTCTGTAATTAAAATACCATACGTTAATCTGTGTTCGCGTGCCTAGAGTACTCAAAACGGACTTTTTGGCGGGAACGCGAGGAGTTAGGTTGTGTGATTTGTTTTATTTTGTCTATTTAGTGTTTCTTCAGGCTTAAATGTGTAATAACGGTGATGAACTGTTTAATATGTACAAATGTGTGAAAATATATAAAAGTGTACAAATGTGGGAAAATTAAACAAAGCCGCTGGACATAAATTCTCGGGATCCTCCAAAAAGTCCACTGAAAAAATCTCAGTAAATGACCACCTTTTTACTGAGATTATATTTCATCCCATATCATCTCATCTCATTTCATTTAATTTCATCCCACTTTATTAATGTCTCAAATTAATCATCTTCATTTCATTTCATTGCATACTATCATTTTTCATAAAAATAAGTATATAAATTAAAATAAGACATGACCTAAAGGTCTTAGGTACCAGGTCATAAAATCTCAAAAAAAAAAGTACTCAAAACACATACGCATACACCAAATTATACACAACAATACAATGTACAGACAATTTTATCGAGTTGAATGTGTTTAGGCGAAGAAGGCCAAACAGGCCGAAATCGACCGCAAGCGCGCTGAGGTGCGCAAGCGCATGGAGGAGGCCTCCAAAGCCAAAAAGGCGAAGAAGGGTTTCATGACACCTGAGAGGAAGAAGAAGCTCAGGGTTAGTACCAATTTCTTCACTATTTCATATAGAAGAGTTTTATTTTTCTTTTTCATTAGGCATAGTGTCGTCATAGCTGTCGTCACTAAACTCAACTTACAGTCTTTTGGCTTCGTTGGAGCTAAAGTAAACTAATGGAAAGTGATTCCAATACATTGTTAGAAATGGAGTAGAAAATGGGTATTAGTTTATTTTTATCTAAATTGGAATATTTGCCAGTGCCATTTGGGAAGACCTGACCATATTCTTTAAGATTCTCACGGATCGTTTGGAACATCTGGGTCTGCGGAGGGACTTCAGTTCCCTCTGTATTAACCGTAAGTTCCATGGGGAGTGCTCTGAGGAATTGTTCGAGATGATACCGGCATCTTGTTTTTACCATCACACAGCCCGTCACCGGAGTAGAGTTCATCCATACTACCTGGATCCACTGTGGTCATCCACAGTGCGTTTACAGAGGTTTTTTTTGCCACGTACCATCCGGGTATGGGATGAGCTCCCCTCCACGGTGTTTTCCCGAGTGCTATGACATGTCCTCCTTCAAACGAGGCTTGTGGAGAGTATTAAGCGGTAGCCAGCGGCTTGGCCCTGCCCCTGGCATTGCTGTGGTTCATGGGCGACGGTAACCACTCACCATCAGGTGGGCCGTATGCTCGTCTGCCTACAAGGGCAATAAAAAAAGATGTAATTCATTCTCAATTATTCCCGTTACCAGTTGCTGCTGCGTAAGAAAGCCGCCGAAGAGTTGAAGAAGGAGCAGGAACGTAAAGCTGCTGAAAGGAGGCGCATCATCGAGGAGAGGTGCGGTAAACCTAAGAACATTGACGACGCCAACGAAGGTAAATGAGAGTCCAAATACAATGGAATAAATTTTGTAGAAGATTTCCGAATTCTAATTCTAGAAATTTCTGGAAATTTTGGAAATCCTAATTGCTAATTCTGGAAATTTTCCGAAACGATCAAGAACACACTACACAATCAAATTCCGATTAACAATTTATATTATTATGTAAACTAGCTGACCCGGCAGACTTCGTAGTACCTCAATCGATAAATCAAATACCTAAACTTTTGTATAAAATAAACTTAAAACAAACAAAAGGAATCCGTCCGACGGGGGACACATCAAAGGAAAAACAAAATTGTTATTTTTATTTAATTCCAAGCATTTTCATATTTATCTATCTTTTAAACCTTCTCTGGACTTTCACGAATAATTCAAGATTCAAAATTAACCAAATCGGTCCAGCCGTTCGCGAGTTTTAGCGAGACTAACGAACAGCAATTCATTTTTATATATAGAGATGATTAGTTTTCTATACATGTTGTATTGTGTCGTATTATAGATACTATTAAGAGGGTTTGCAAAGACTACCATGAACGCATCGCTCGTCTTGAAGATGAAAAATTCGATCTGGAATACATCGTTAAAAGGAAAGATATGGAGGTAGTGAGATGAGCCGCGACACAGCTGCTCTCGTGAACTTGCTACTCTATAACTCACTCTCAAACTTAACGAATTTTATTTTGTGACGTCTAAAGGCAGTGCTGTCTCTACTTCGTCTGGTTAACAAATGATTAAACTCTAGCGTTGGTGTGACGAGTTGTAGGGACCGCTGTGTCTCTGTCTGATTTAATTTGTCTTTCTAATGCGTTTTCTATTTCTTCTAAGCTCCATGTGACGTCGTTAAACCTTAATGCGAACTACTTACTACCTTCTATTTTTTTTTCTAATATCCTAAAATTCACTTCCGAGACTGACACCTCGCTTTCTGTCCGTCCATGATGCGTGGGTGTTCCGCTGCGGCGCCGGTTAGGGAGCTCGGATATAACTCTCCGGTTTTTGGTTCGCGCGAGTAATCGTCACTTGAATTTGTAGCCGCTCTGACGAGCATCATTACGGGCTACCATCAGCGTATCACCAAGCTAGAAGAGGAGAAGTACGATCGCGAGATGGAAGTGGCGCGCAAAGGGCTCGAGGTCTGACTTGGTTTGAGCTCTACGCAAACATTATTACGCTCACGTTTGAGTAGTTTTAGACGATAATGTGACTAGTTAAAAATTTGTTTTGATTTTGCAGCAAAATTATATAATTTAAAACGGAGCTATATAAATATTACACGTACAGCCCTAACCGTGTGGATAACAAGTTAGGTAACTGCTAAAATAACAAGGACCCGTTGCGGCGACCTCGGAGCAGCTATAGATACTACTTGTAGATATTGTCATCGAGTGGTCAAGTCAATAACAACATACTCAAACTACGTTACAGCAATGTCCCACCCGAATAATGATCATATAGCTTCGCTTCGCTTTGATCCACAAATCAAGAGTCCCTCGCGTACAACACTACTACACACACAGATCCGGAAGACAACCAAGCCGTAGTCGCGCCTACGAGCCTTCGATCATCTTCTCATACATTATATTGTGATTGTGTTTTTCTTTAGCGGAACTGCAGACGATATGTCAAATGTACTGGCACAGAATATACAACCTTGAGGGGGATAAATATGAACTAGAACGAGCGATCGAAATTAGGAAAATGGAGGTAAACCGCATAATAGGAATGGGAATGCATTATGATTTGAATCTGATTTANGCCTACGAGCCTTCGATCATCTTCTCATACATTATATTGTGATTGTGTTTTTCTTTAGCGGAACTGCAGACGATATGTCAAATGTACTGGCACAGAATATACAACCTTGAGGGGGATAAATATGAACTAGAACGAGCGATCGAAATTAGGAAAATGGAGGTAAACCGCATAATAGGAATGGGAATGCATTATGATTTGAATCTGATTTAGTTGTTTACGACATGACATGATAGTTGTACGGCTCACCGCACACATGCACACGTCGCTCCGACGACAGACGCAGGTCACTCGCATCGATATGCCCATGCTCATTACGCCGGCTCAATAATATGTCTTTCCTTTTTCTATAGCAATGCTCAAGAGAATAATACAGGAGTATTATGACCGCATGTATGTGTGTGAGGGCCAGAAGTGGGATTTGGAACATGAAGTCAGGAAAAGAGATTATGAGGTATTGACCAAATACTTTATGACCATTGTGAATACCACAATCATCGATAATGTAACAAACGTGCGCGTGTGACGATTCGTGTTGATACATTGATAACGCTTTGTAAGTTTTCGGTATGTTTGTTGTTGAAATGTAAATAACGGTCGATTATCGGTTCGTTAGTGTTGTACTGTAGTATCCGTGTGTGGGTGCGTAGTTCGGGCAGCGGACGCTCGCGTCGAGCAGCCGCGCGGTGCAAAATCGATCTCGCCGGTTCGCGTCACCGACATGGAGCTCACATCATTAACTACACTAACTACTGTAACCGTAACAAGTCAACCACACTGCACTCACCAGCGCGGACAGCATGCTCCCGTCAGACCTTCCATTACTTCCGTTCGTATCGTATCCATCATACCGACGGCCTTGGAAACTATTCAGTGTCCAACTTCAAATATAAAAACGTGGATCGCTTCATCTCTATTGTCTGTACTGTAAACGCTTCTTGTCTGTTGCATGTTCATGTATAGTTATAATTTTCGCTTTCCGCTTCCCACTAATCATTGCATAGTATGGCACTTTAATATTTTTAAACTGTGGTAAATTGAATAGTCGAGAATCATCGCTGCTCGTACAACAGTGACGCTTCGTGTGTGGTGTCGATCTTAATGGCCTTACTGAATTTTCTCTTTTTACGTTAACAACAATGGTTGAAGTCAAATTATGACCGGAACACTGGACTGGTTCCTCCATTGGCACACGCTAGTGCATAGTGCAAATGAAACTTCTTGTTCCAAATCTCCAACTTTTCATGTATGTGCCGTGATTATACCGCGCGATTTGTTTGCGTGTTCGGTTGCTGAGATACCCTGTTTAAACCTTTTGAGAAACCCGTATGGACACCGTGTGTTTTTNAATGGTTGAAGTCAAATTATGACCGGAACACTGGACTGGTTCCTCCATTGGCACACGCTAGTGCATAGTGCAAATGAAACTTCTTGTTCCAAATCTCCAACTTTTCATGTATGTGCCGTGATTATACCGCGCGATTTGTTTGCGTGTTCGGTTGCTGAGATACCCTGTTTAAACCTTTTGAGAAACCCGTATGGACACCATGTGTTTTTAGAAAGTGCCATGCTCTGGTCGTTGTACCCGTTCCTACCCTGAAGTGCCCGCCGTGGGCGCCACGCTGTGGTCGCTCTTTACACATTACTCATCCGGACCTTCGGCTGCAAACTATGCTCACTTGCGAGTCCAAACACTACACGTCTATCTGCTACATACTGCCGACCGATTTACATTTGCAAATTTCGATCGATTTTGCACCGTCACTCCATGTATTATACACACCGCAATGTACTGCGTCCAACATGCGAAAATACCAGAGCAGAACTACTCAACGCTCGCAACAATATAATCATTTCGACTATCGATACGACCGTCATCTTTGTGTACGTCGACAAATATGAATTGTATGCGCTACTATGTTGTTGCACATGTAAAAAATCCTGCACATTTTATGTATAATTATTTTTTTGTGAATATTTATATTGTAATGTTGGAGACACAGGAGCTGCTGACGGCCAGCTACCAGTCGAAGGCACGTTAAGTAGGTGTTGTGCACGAAACGGAGTAAGCAATAGCGTTGAACTAGTTAGTATTTAGGCAAAGAGCACGGGCTAGTAGAACGAGACCACAGTATCATAGGATGGGGACAGATCTTTTGTTTTTATTTTATCCAAATTTACTCACATACTACAAATATCAAATACAGCTGCAAATAACACGCCTAATATCAGCTCAGCTCTATATCTGGGTCTGCTTACCGACTTAATAATAAATACTTGAAGCAGATATATCTATTCGCTTTTTATTAGTTGTCTTTTATTTTCGAGTTAGCTTTTTATGTGGGGTTTCGCTTAAAATGCATTGCATGTGTTTTCATTATCCCGAAACAATGTATTGCACAAGTTTAAGCAAAATTTATCTGGCTCATATACGTGTTTTTTGGTGATCGCATAAACTTTTGAAATACATTTTAGTATGATTACTATACTGTTAACGTTAAGTTTGAAGACAATTCTATATTAATATTATATTTCTTTAATTTTGTATAATCTTCTTTCTATTAAGACTAAAGTTAATTACATTAAATTTATTCAATTTATATTAATTTTCACCATCTTCTAACTTAAAAATTCCTTTGTGCTATCGCATATCTCGACCTAGTTCTCACTAATTATTATATTTTGTCAGATCTCCGACCTGAACTCCCAAGTCAACGACCTCAGAGGCAAATTGTAAGTATTCACTGTTACTTCAATAAACTTCAACGAAGTCGTTAGGATTATACAAAAACATAGATATTGTAGATATACATTTTACTATAGTTTGTTTTGCGTGAGTGATTATTTTGGAACAATCTAATTAGTTAACATGGCAATACTGTAACATAAATTATCTTACAAGCTACTGAAAATTTGAATTCGTTCATTAATTGCCAGTTTGATTTTCCCGATAAATCCGGAACAAAAACCTTAGGCAAAGGGTTTCGAGTACAGTGTGTGCTCGTGAATACAATTTGTTGTGTAACGCCAGCGTTCTCAGCGCGAGGGTCCTTGTTGGCTGCACTTCTTGCTTCGTCCCTATTGTTGTGCGAAACCAACAATGTACCGCCATTATGATTTCACGGAAACAGAGTGTTATGGCAATGATATTTTCCAATATAAAGGCCAGATTTTTTAAATGGGATTTTATAACCTGGTAACTAAGACCTTTAAGTCATGTCTTATTTTAATTTATATTTTTATGAAAAATGATAATATGGAGTGACATGAAATGTAATGAAGATGATTAATTTGAGACATTAATCAACTGGGATGAAATTAAATGAAATGAGATGAGATGATATGGGATGAAATACAATGTCAGTAAAATGGTGGTCATTTACTGAGATTTTTTCCGTGGACTTTTTGGAGGATCTCGAGAAGTTACGTCCAACGGCTTTGTTTCATTTTCCCACATTTGCGCACTTTCACAGATATTAAACAGTTAATAAATCACCGTTATTTACACATTTAAGCCTGAAAAAACACAGACAAAATAAAACAAATCACACAACTTCACTCGTCGCGTTCCCGCCAAAAAGTCCTTAAAGGCCAGATATTTTTTTTATACCACAGACTCAATATTTACGTATCGACATCATTTGAAAAGTAGAGCGCGTGAGATTTGCCAACCGATTTATAAATATCGATATAAGATCATATTGTGATTGTCATAGGCACCAATAACTACTTGAGCCACATCAAGTGAGTAACGAACATCAAAGGAATATAAAAAAGGATTTTGAAGTTATATTCGGAGCACAATATTTTTGTTGATAAATTTGCGTACAATAACCACTATGCTATGAGAAAATACGCCAGTATTAGAATAGAGTTCTTGTTCTTGTGAAACATTCTTTTTCGTAAGTGCCACCACCCAGATGGAGACATTAGATCCAACTTAAGACACTAGATCTAACTGTACAACTTAAGAGTGACGTCAGAATATCCAAGCAAGCGTATGCTGTATCACCGCAAATCTAAAATATTTTTCTAGTCAACGGGCAGACAGAAACATATAGATAGATAAGAAATATGATATTTATTTATTTATACTTTATGCACAAAACAAAACTTGTACACAGGCGGACTTAATGCCATGGGCATTCTCTTCCAGTCGACCATAGATGATGATATGATGATGAACAGCTCAAAGTGATCCAATTTAAAACACAATATTAAATTCTCAATATTATAATTAAAATCTCTCAATTATTAAATCGCTACGCATGTCTGCTGCGCGATATTATACATTAGGCCGAATGACGACACATTTCAATACGGACTCACAATACGCCATATCAACAGTGTACTTAGTGCGAGTTTTTTAACGTTCTCAATAGCGTTTTTTTTTTTTTTTTCCTACCTAATCTGAGAGCCTTGTGAGGCTATTTCAGCGTAACCCTAACGTTTGTAAGTGAGCTCACGGGGCTCAAACCTGACGACGATGCTAACACGAACCCTAGCAAGAGCCGTGCTTCGCAGAATCTACCACCGGATCGGAAACGCGACCCACTGAGAAGATCCGGCGAGAAACTCAGTGGGCTGTGTCTGGGAGTTAATTTACTCGTCGAGCCCTTCGTCGCAAGCGACGGGTTCGACGAGAACGGTGACCGGTGNCACGAACCCTAGCAAGAGCCGTGCTTCGCAGAATCTACCACCGGATCGGAAACGCGACCCACTGAGAAGATCCGGCGAGAAACTCAGTGGGCTGTGTCTGGGAGTTAATTTACTCGTCGAGCCCTTCGTCGCAAGCGACGGGTTCGACGAGAACGGTGACCGGTGCTTGAAGTACCTAGAAGCACCGTTAGTGGATCGGGAGGATCAGAGATGACGTGTTTTGGGCGACGTCGACTGCTTTCCATTCTGTCCGCAGGATCGGGAATGTAGTTACCGGCGGCCACGATGAGAGGGTTCTCGTGTCGTGCCGCTTTATCGAAGTGGTCCTCAATAGCGTAAAAGTTAGCTCATATTTGTATGGAATGGGATCGTCTGTCTACGTTTGCCGCTAGGGGCGCTGTTCCAACTGCATACAAAAATGGCTTAACTTTTACGCTATCGAGAACGTTAAGACACTCGCACTAAGCACACAGCAAACGTCCTTTTCAATTTAAATTCAGCAAAGCAAATTCTTAGCAAAAAGTAAAATCTTTCCAATTAAACAATCATTATAGATACATTTTAATAAATGTTAACGTATTATTAATTTTAATAAATTATATTAATTCTCTTCTAGCGTCAAGCCCACACTAAAGAAGGTTTCCAAATACGAAAACAAATTCGCCAAGCTCCAGAAGAAGGCCGCCGAATTCAACTTCCGTAACCAATTGAAGGTCGTGAAAAAGAAGGAATTCACCTTGGAAGAGGAAGACAAAGAGGTACATTCATTATTATTACTAACACCAATAGAAACGACTTCAAAAGTAACAATTGGCAAACGTTCTTTTAAAAACTCTAATATGTTGACAAGTACATTTTTTAAATATTTTTTCATTCTGAGTCTTTGACACGAACATGATTATGACAAAAACAGTTAAATCTATCTATCTCTTAGCTTTATGGCGTTAACAGTTAAATCACCAAACTTTACTACAATTACACAGTCACTGTCACTGTCATTACACAAGTCAATGTCATTATCGTTGTGTTCATCCGTCAAAGGGCCGATAAAATATTTAAAAAATCCAATAGCTACTGGAGCAGGTATAAATGCTTGTTACAAAATAATTCTGGAATCATTAACAAAAGTAACCGATATCGTTTACACATCTTCCAACAGGCTAAGAAGGCAGAGAAAGCTGACTGGGCTATCGGCAAGAAGTAAACAAACTTAAAACGTAACTTTCCATCAACGAACAACAGATGATTTATAATTAATTATTCACTAATTATAATAAAATACTTAATTACCTTTTTGTTATCAAATTGTTTTTAGTAAAAATTTCCATCCATTACCTAAGCGTTATGAGGTGAGCTACGAGTTTGGATGAGGCGTTTTCAGCTTAAAATTTCACGTACATCCCGTTTTGTGACAACCCTAACCCTTTCGAAAACTCATCACCCTTTCAGGCTTCTGCTGTGAGATTTGTTAGTGAAATACGTTTTTGTACCAGATTTCAGCGCTCCCCTACAAAGCTTAGCGAATCCTTTGAAGAATACGATACCCAGCTACAGCTACTAGTGATTACGTTTTTTCCCCATATGTGACTAACATTTCTCAAGTTTACGAGGAACAATAGACATCACTCACGAGTACTCCCAACACAACGACGCTATTTCACTTTAAAATTACCTTGTTTTTTGCAAACGTCTATGACACATAAAAAAAAACATATTTTATTTGTATTTAGTACTTTTAAATTTAAGTTAAATAGATTATTACTTTGTATTTTGACAAAACTCTAATCGCCATGTTCCACAGGGCGGTGCCGGAGGCAAGGTAAATGAAAATATCTGCGCAATCACGAAATGTTTTATTTTAGATTTCGCTGACACGGTGGCATGATGAGCACAGCTTCACAAATAGTTTAGTCGCAGTTACCTAGTACACTTTGAACGGTCTAGGCTTGTTGTGTCATAGACAAGGCAAGAATTTGGATATTTTATGCCAATAAATAGTGTTTTCGTTATTTGAAATGTTGTACATTTGCAGTTCTTACAGAGCTGTGGAGGCATTTAAATTTGATTCATTTTCCATGGAGTTTGAGCCTGAAACGGAAACGTTCCACAATTGGAAATTCGATTGGAAAACGTGTTGCTTCTGAGTGATTCATTTGGGTGGTCTAGAATGAAGGATTCTTGGAAACTTTTGTACAGATTGTTCACCTGCTGATATATATTTTGCTTGAGCAGTTTTAAGTACAAATACGTCTTCAATGCTTTTAGAATTGAGAGCGGCATCTACGGAACATTATTTGATTGTAATATAAGACCAATACATATTTTTCTAACTGTTAAAATTGGATTAAAATCAGTTATAAATAAAATCATTTTCGTTCATTAGATAACGATTATCTTTGGTGACATTGTACGTATTGGTAATTTTATTACAATGAAAAGGAAGCAATTTAAATATGATTTGAAACCGAAAATAAGCGAAGGAACAAATTTATTTTAAACTTCGTATACTTTAAAATGTTTCCTTTTCGAGATTGTAAATATTTTAGACATTCACAAAGCGGCTTGTCATCTGTAAACGTAATTACAAATAATTTATAGCATTCAATGTAAATTTTACTGTTTACAGAAAAAGCCTGACTGGTCGAAGGGCAAGCCGGGAGATCAGAAGGTAAAAGAAGAAGAGGTTGAGGCATGAACATCATAATACCCAAATCATTAAGACCTTTCACCAACTGTCAATAATTATGTGATGTGCCCTATAGTGTGTCTGTCTGCAAAGAGACTTAAATTTTATTTATCTGGCTGCTTGCGCTGTGTCTATGTGTGAGCAAGCCAGATATATAAGTAAAGTTTAAGCAGTTACCTGTCCTAAGTTACCAGTCTTTTTGTGTCTTCCAACGGGCATCACTTAACGTATATCATGTAACGACCAAATTGAATTAACGCGAACACGTAAAAAAAAGAAAATATTTATTTACCACATTGAATAATGTTTTTGTAAGATAATGAATACGTTTAATAAATGATAATTTTGTCTACTTATATAATAAGTATGTGTTCTTTTATGTTCCCTATCCTCGTAATCCTTAGATTATGTGCCGTTGTTGTCCTCTGTGGTAACTAATTTTTGTTTACTTTAAGAAGTTTTATTCCGGCATGAAAAATAGTTTTCCAAACATTTTTTATTTCAGTGATATTTGGGATTTTCATTTAAATTATGATCTGGGTATTTTAAAATAACGATTTGTTCAAATAGAAAATTGTTGATCACAAAGATGCGTTACACATAGATTAGTTGTGAAAAAAAATCCAATCAAAAAAAGGAACGTTTTTTGGTTAATTTTGTTTGGGGTACAATTATTATTTATCTATTACTGTGAAAAGATTGGTCATGATGCTTCCAGCGTTAGATTCGCCGCTTTTGTTAGGCACATAACTGTAATTATAAGGCATTTTTTTAATGTCGTGATCCAAGTTTAAAAGCAAAAGACTTGTGAAGAAATTTTTTATGAACGACTAGTTGACCCGGCAGACTTCGTAGTGCCTCAATCGATAAATAAAAGACCTAAGCTTTTGTATAAAATAAACTTAAAACAAAGAAAAGGAATCCATCCGACGGGACGCATTTTCATATTTATCTACCTTTTAAGCCTTCTCTGGACTTCCACAAATAATTCAAGACCAAAATTAACCAAATCGGTCCAGCCGTTCTCGAGTTTTAGTGAGACTAACGAACAGCAATTCATTTTTATATATTATTATAAAGGTTATATTTATTTGTTTGATAATAATATTCGCGATCTTAATTCTGATTAGAGATATAAAGCGTACCACAGAACTCTAAAAAATTTGAAAAAAATTGCTGAACTAATTTTGTTTAAGGTTGATAACCTCGTTGGTCCGATTGTTAAAAACCCACCGGCTTCATGTTTAGTTCCGGATCAGAGTTTTTTTTTGCTCAGATGGATGGACGAGCTCATAATCCACCTGGTGTTAAGTGATAACTGGAGCCCATAGACATCTACAACGTAAATGCGCCACCCACCTTGAGATATAAGTTCTAAGGTCTCAGTATAGTTACAACGGTTGCCTCGCTTTTCAAACCGAAACGCATTACTACTTCACGGCAGAAATAGGCAGGGTGGTGGTATCTACCCGTGCGGACTCACAAGAGATCCTACCACCAGTAGGTTACTATTGAGTTAGGATGTTCATTACTCCTTGGGCCCGCGGTCTGCTCCCAACATCTGCAGATCGTCAAGTCCCACATACTCCGCGCGCCCTATAAGCACGGTAACCTAGGAGGAGGTTCGGCCCCCGGCCCGAAAAAAAAAGATGTTCAATTGAAAGCATTAGAAATTGGCAATTTGGTTGTACTTATCTTTTATGTGTGCGCTGACAAATGTGGAACATTGCTTCTTTATTCGTTGAAGAGCGCACTTATTAAGCATATAAAAAACCTTTGACGAATTCACATAACTTAATAACGGTAGGCAGCGGCTTGTCTCTGCCCCTGGCTTTGCTGAAGTCCATGGGCGACGGTAACCACTCAACATCAGGTGGGCCATATGCTCGTCTGCCTACAAGGGCAAAAAAAACAAAAAAAAACTTTGCCATCTAAAAATACGTATATTTAATTTAAAAAAACGAAATTTATGGAACGACTAATTCACCATTCACTTCACTAACCATTCAAAAAAATATCTTTATTTATTATACTATTCGCGCAAAACACAGTTAAAGAGATGTCCAGTTCGCAGACCGAAGAACCACCATCCAATAAATTGTCACTTCGATATATTTTACGTCTTCATTCACACATCCCTTCATAATCCCCCGGGATTCGGTCCATAAAGATTTATGTGTTCCAATAAAAATATAAAAGAAACTCGTTTTGTTATGTTAATGTGCGAAAAAAATTTCCATCATAATAAAATAATATCGACGCCAGATATTTCGTTTATCAAAAGATTGCCGTTCCATAAATTTCTGGAGAATTCTAAATTTCCTTAAGCTTCGTAAAATGTATGATAAAAGTATCAGTAGTTCCTAGATCTTTAATTGATTGTGTTTAATAAGGTTTCAAGTTTGAATCATATTTGTGGTCGTATCTATATAAATATAATTATACCTACTGTTCGTTTGTTTGTTACCGAACGCTTCCTTAATGGTTTCCCAATCTCTTTATTTGTGGATCCTTACAGATAAATCAGATGTAGATAGATCGGAAGGCAAGAAAGAATGTGTTAAGCCCACTAGTAAGCATCTATATATTAATACGTGAAGCAAAAACTTTGTATCCCTTTTTACGAAAATTGCGCGGACGGAGTAGTATGAAATTTTCCACACTTATAGAGAATATAGAGAAGAAGTGCACAATGCTAATATTTTTTTAAAATAATGCATAAAAGATACATTAAATCAATAAAGAAAATATTACACACACTACATACCATGTATTTAACGCACACACGCATGCATACTATTTATTGTCAAACTTTTGTTCTTGACGTCTGTTGTCAAATTGAGAATAGATTAAATATTATTTGTCTTTGTTAATATTTTTTATAGTATAGTCTTGGCGAAATATGTTATAAAGAAGTATAAAATACATTCATAATGGTATACAAACTTACAATTCCAATTAATTATAGTCGAATCTCGACTACTGCGGGACCTCTAGTATGAATTAAATGCCTATGATGACTCCTTCAGTTAGTTTATTAAAGAAGGGCAATAATGGAACCAAATAAATGTAAATTCACATTAAATGCCCCGAACTACGATTTTTTATACTAGACACACAGACGAGTTTTATACGAGACAAGAACAAGCACGCCCGGTTCTTGGGTATCATCCGAAGTCTACGTATCATAAAATAAATAAATAAAATTATAATCCTTCGAAACGTTAATAACTATATGGCATCGCATTTCTAACTGTTTCACTGCCTATTGAGTAAAATGTTTTAAACTATGTGACAGGAAAATATATACTTTAAACTCAAAACACAGAGAAATATTTTCATCTGGAAGTTCATTCAGGTGGATAACAACGGAATGGCTGAGTCGTTGGAACAAAAAGAAAGTGCCTGTACCATGCCATATTTTTATTTTTTTTATCGACTCGACCGCCTTCTCTGAATGATCACAAATGAAAAAGCTGTTTGCCAGCTGTATAGTTTTAATTTCCGTTTTAATTAGAGGATTCTTGAGATGAAAATTAAATAGGCCAGGGTAAGTCCGTATTGTGTTTTATTTCAGCAGCTTCATAGCTAAAAGCGTTAACATTTTAGTTGTATTTTACAATCAATACAGTGGACGATAACTATTTTCAGGCTTATTAAATAAAACTTAGCTATAATAAAAAAACTTTAATGTTAGAAAATTAATCATGTCTAATGTAGTTGCCAAAATATTACTAACAATAGAAAGTTAACCACAAATCTGACAACAATTGCATAATAAAACTAATAAAATTGGACAACAATTAACAAAATTGGAAATAAGGCCATGCTTAGCTGCTTATATTTAAAAATACGTCGCTGTGTTACGAACACTTATTGATACTAACAATTATTTATTTAATACTAATAATTAGAGATTGATAGAAGTATTTCTAGAAGATGTTCTCGTGATAGCTGTTACAAGTTTCTTGTTGGGTGACAGGAAGGACAACAGGGTGATGCTGCTGCTCCTGCTGAGGGTAGTGCAGAAGCACCGGCTGAGGGAGCTCCAACGGAAGGCGCTCCGGCTACAGAGGGAGCACCAGCCCCCACTGATGGAGCCCCAGCACCTCCAGCTGAAGGTTAATAAAGGCTTTGATCTAAATTCACAATTTAAAAAAAATCCTAAGTTAGAAATCTCCCTGCGTTGTTTGTGAAACTAAAGCTGTAGCTACTAAACAAAACAAAAATATAATCATAATCTGCTATGTGCCAAAATTTTATTTTGAATTAACGAGTAGTAAATTTTAATACATTTGAATTAAAAATAGTGTAAGAAAAAATGATTTTATTGTAAAAAAGCGTGGGGTGCATGGTATAAGTAGTTATAAATATTTTATGAACAGATATGAGTAGAAGGGTTAATTTGATAATATCCTGAAAAGCACCCCACGCTTTTTTACAATAAAAATTTTTTTTCTTACACTATTGTTAATTCAAATTTATTAAAATTTATTTTCTATTTTTTAGTTGGATTTTCTATAAAAGCGTATTGTGTTAGTTTTTTTTAACTATTATTTATTTTTCATTTTTTAGTTGAATTTAAATTTTTTCAATTTTTTTTTAAATGTTGAATTGTCTTCGCTCCTTAATATGTATACCAAATTTCGAGTAAATCCGACGTTTACAAAGGGGTCAAAATCATGTTCAAAGATTCCGTTACAAACATACATACACATACGTCTAAAGCTAATAAAAGCGTATTAAAAACATTTTCGTATAAAATTTTATATGAAGGTGAATTTTTAAAAATTACATAAATATGAAAGTTTAAGACACATAACAGTTTTTTTATACAGTAGACAATAGGGCTGTAAACTATACGAAAAAGTAAAAAAGTAAAAATCTCAAAAAGTGCACATGTTGCATATTTTGGTTTGACAACGACTTTTTTTTATTTTTGCCTATTTTGATACAGCTGTTCAATTGTCTAATAGGTGCACCGACGCCTGCTGAAGGAGCTCCTGCTCCAGCAGAAGGAGCCCCACCGGCCCCCGCGGAGGGGACACCCGCGCCACCCGCCGAAGGGACACCGGCACCTGCAGCACCTCCTGCAGAAGGAGCACCTGCAGCACCTCCCTCGGAAGGAGCACCTGCAGCGCCTCCTGCGGAAGGAGCACCTGCAGCTCCCCCAGCAGAAGGAGCAGCTCCCCCAGCAGCACCCGCTGAAGGTATTTCAAACAAAATAATTAGATTTAGAATAATGTTTACATCTATAGCAGGCAGATGAGTTCGTACGACACCTGGTGGTAAGAAGCTACCGTAGCCCATAAAGCCTTTAATGGTTCTTAAAAAGTCAAGCTAATTTGAGTGTTTTAT